TACGCCAAACCCAAAGACTTTACACTCGTCATCATGGCAACTAACCAGCGAAAAAGATGATAACATGGGATCAAAGATTCGATGGTCCAACTCAAAGCAGCGGCTGCAGGGCTGGAATTGCCATGAAACAATATTTGATCCAGTGTCGAGCAGCAGGTACAGTATCTGTCCAATGGTACCAACCTTAAGACCAACCACATATAATTAACCCCTTTTTCCATATAGATGGTGGAGGATGATTCAAATTTGTTTCTGTAACATGTGGCCCCAATTTTTGGTGAAGGACATATTGTAGTGAAGAATTCAACTATAAGGAAAATTGTAGCTGCTTGCAAAGTCTTAGATTGCCTTATTCCTAATTTTTCCTTTTAATTAATCGTAACTTAGAATTGATGCTGGCATCTAATTTAATAGGTTATTTCTTATTATTATTTGATAATTCTTTTTATTGGTATATAAATAAAATTGTGGAATGAAAAAAAATTTCATATTGACTAAAAATAAAAGTAAAATTTATTAGCATTCTATATAAATAAATATCTAATCTCACATCACTTAAAAGCAAAGAGTATTACTAGTACTTAATATATAAAAAAAGTTTAAAATATATTAATAGTATCTTTTCAACCTTTAAACATTTTAGTTAATAGTTATTATAATTATTTCAATTTGAATTAAAATAAAAATAAAATAAATTTTAAAATAATAATAGTAGTTAATTAGAACAAAGTAGCTGGTCTTACGCCGGCAGCATCAATTCCTCAATTCCTATTGGATGATTCAATTCCTCAATTCCTCAATTCCTATTGGATGATTCAATTCCTACAATTCCTCAATTCCTCAATTCATATTGCATGATTCAATTCCTCAATTCCTCAATTCTTATTGGATGATTGAATTCCTACAATTCCTCAATTTCTCAATTCATATTGGATGATTCAATTCCTCAATTCCTATTGGATGATTCAATTCCTCAATTCCTATTGGATGATTCAATTCCTACAATTCCTACAATTCCTCAATTCCTATTGGATGATTCAATTCCTACAATTCCTACTATTCCTCAATTCCTATTGGATGATTCAATTCCTACTATTCCTGTTGGATGCCCGAAACGTGTTCACTTAAACTGTTGTGTAGTTCCTATTGGATGATGGATTACTTCAGTGGATCCTATAACTCCTTATAAATCTAAAGACCGGCAGCAAATATGTTCACTTCATTTTCCTTCTCTTCATCGTTCAATTGCATTCACTGATCTCAGATTTTTCAGGCTACAATGGGTGTTTTCACTGATAAAATGGAGGTCACCACAAAGATCCCCCCAGCTCGGATGTTCAGGGCTCTTGTCTTTGTTCCAAAGGCCATTCAGAATGTTGAACTCATTGAAGGAGATGGAGGCACTGGAAGCATTAAAAAGATCATCTTTGGAGAAGGTTTAGTTTCCGCAATCATTTCTAGCGCCTCGCATATCACAAGCAATTAACTAAATTGTTTTTTTGTTTACAGGAAGCCAAGTCAAGTATGTGAAGCATAAGATTGAAACAATCGACGAGAAGGGCTTCTCATTCAATTATAGTCTCATAGAAGGCGATGCTCTGATGAACAATCTTGAGAAAATCTCTCACGATTTCAAGTTTATGGCAGCTCCAAATGGAGGTTCCATTTGCAACATCAGCATCAGCAGCCATTATACCATTGGTGACATTTATATCAAGCAAGAAGATGTCAAAGCGGAGAGAGAAAAGGGCTTGGGACTGTTGAAGGCTGTTGAAGCCTACCTCCTTGCAAACCGGGGAGCTTGTAAGATTAAAGTTAATTAAGTCTTTATTTGGCTTGTTGTAAGGATAGGTCCGAGGTTAAGGACCTCGGACGTACTGCTATAATTCATTAATAGCCGAAGTGAAGTTAAATCCAACACTTCTAGTCAAACAG